CGCGACCTGGGCACTGCAGTTCAAGGCGTCGTCCCTGGACAAGCGGTAGCCTGGTTGAGTCGACAACACTTGCTCCATACAGACGTCGCCACCATACTGGAGAACCATATAAACATTACACTTGCTGTGCAACATGCTTACGCAACGGATGATGTGTGGGTGGTCAAGGGTGTGAGTTAAGAAACAGAACTCTTTGTATATGTTCTCCACCTCCTTGGCATCAGTAATGCTGCGCTTGTCGTGCACCTTGATCACTACGTTCTCATGCTGCCCGTTCACCGCCAAAAACACGTGCCGGTGATTCGGATACGGGCGCACGCGCTGGAAATCCCCGACCCGATTCCCAGATTCCAGCAAGCTCTTGTTCTCAGGCGGGAAACCGGGCATCAGCAGATTCGGGATGGTCTTCCAAACGAGGCCGCGGAACTCGTCCTCAATGAACTGGCACTCGCTTGTTGTCAGGAATTCCCCATGGTTCAAATCGTTTTCATATGCCCGCATGCGCTGCCCGATGACGTCGTTCTCTATGAGCTTCAAACTTAACCTCTTTTGCAGCCCCTCCGGGTCATTTTCCAGCTCCGTCAGCACGCCCGCCGCCCCAAAGCTATAGAGCTCGTCCTGTCGCGCCATCAGTGTATTGACGTAGTCCCTGGTCAGCTCGGGATCCAACCTGTCTGGAACCTGCAAGAAGAAGACGAGCGCGTCGGGGTGCGCCGTCCCCAGATAGTCCAAGACAATTAGAGCGCGCCTTTTCTCCCACATCGTCCTGTATACGGACACGATGAACACGACCTCGTGCTGCTCCACCATCCATTTGATGCTTGCCGAACTCACCTCTCCACGATTTTCCCCAGTGGCCAGCACGTTGGCTGGCTTTTCCTGCGAGCTCCATGGCACCAGGGTCAAGAAGCCAAAGGCCGACATGCTTGGAGCGACGCTGGAGACATATGCTTCCACGACGCTTTGGATCGAACTCGATACTGTCAGCATGTTGAACCAGAGCGAATCGTGGTCGGGGCACGCGGTGAAACGACGTTTCCAGCCAAATTGCTTGAGGCAAAACGGCCTGAATGAAATGGTTACGGACAACTCTCTTGGACCGTATTGAGAACTCTTGGGACCCTCGTGTCGTGTTTTGAGGCTGTCATGGGGCGGTCTTGGCTGGCTCAGCGGGCCCCGGGGCGGCTATGCGCAGTCGGGGTCTCTGGGCCAGGGCCCTGGACCCCGTTGCCTGGGATATATGCAAATATATATATATATATATATATATATATGTTGCGAATTTTATATTATATACACATATATAGAAATACGTATATCATTGGGCGCGCTTCGCGCGCGCTCAAACTCTAGCTAGGCTGGATGGTCGAACTCTTGGGGATTTCAATGGCACTTCTTCTCTGGGGCTTCCAAGAACAACGAATACGGCCCAAGTGGCTTCCAAGACTTTCTACGGTCCACCCACGACGGCTTAAGACATGCTCAAAGGGCACTTCGGGAGCTCTTTTATTCGCCGCGGCTGGACGTAGCCGGAGGAAGGAGGAGGAGAAGGGGAGGTGAAGGGGTTCCGTGAGGGAGAAGGAGAAGGATCACGAAGAGAACTTGGAGAGGGTAGAGGAGGCCACAAAGGAGGAGGACATGGAGGAGGAGGAACCGGAGGACATATGTTATTTTCTTAAGGGTAGCGAAGCTGCCAGGCGAACTTTGAACACAGAAATTTTGAAATTCCTGTTTTTCTCAAGTGCCCTCTGGGCTTCTCTCTTTGGGACCTCCTTGGGGCTTCTTGGGGACCTCTTGAAGCCTCCTAGGAGTCTCCTGGGGCAAAGATCTCGGGTTTTCGGTTCACGTCCCCGATCCTGTGCCGCGGTTTGGGCCCTCTCGGGCCGTCTTGGACGTGTCTTCGGCGCGTTTGAAGCCCAATGGGCAACCTTGGGGCGCTTTTGAAGCCTATTGGGCTGTCTTGGGGCGATCCTCGGAGCCTCTTGGGGCGTTGTGCAGCGTCGGGAATCGGAACAGGAGGAAACGCCAAAATTGCTCAAACACCTACGGAAAATACATGTTTCTTGGCCTCTTCGAGCTCTGTTGGGAGACCTCTTGGAAGACTCTTGGGTATCTTGGAGGTCCCTTAGGCCGCCTGGAGGCCGTCTTTGGCGTGTTGGACCACCTAGTGGCCTTCGGCCCATCCCGCCACCGTGCCTGGGTTGTGGGTTAGAGGCCTCTTGGAAGTTTGCTTGGAATTCGTGGGAGGCCTCATGGAGCGCCTCTTGAAGGCAGTTTCGGAAGCCTCGTGCGGGCCTGTGGGGTTCTCTTGGAGCTTTTTTGGGGGCCTCTCGGGGGGCCTCTTTTGGGCCTCCCCGGGGCCTCTATCGGGACTCTTGGGCTCTCTTGGGGGGTTCTTGGGGCTCCTGGGAGCCTCTTGGGGCAGAACGCTTGAATTGTCGGTTCGTGTTCCCCCTCTTGGGCCCATCTTGGGGCCATCTTGGGGCCTTCTTGGGCGATCTTGGGCGCCTCTTGGGCCGTCTTGGGGCACTCTTGGGCCGTCTTGGAACTCTCTTGCGCCGTCCTGCCGCCCTCTTTGGATGCCTCTTGGACAGTCTTGAACTGAACTCTGGGGCCTCATGGGCCGTCTTGGACCGTCGGAAGCACGAAAAAAAGAGAACGCGAAAACTTGTCATCGAACACCTGTCGAACAAAACTGCTTGTTCCGCCTCCTGAGGGCACCGTGGGAACCCATTTGAAGGTACGTTGGCCGTCTTGACGCCCTCTTGGGGTGCCCTCAAGCCATGTTGGACCAATATTGAAACGTTGTTGTGCGGTCTTGGGCTCTCTTGGAGCGCTCTTGGGCCATCCTGGCGCCCTCTTGGACGTCTCTCGGGTCCTCTCGTCGCCCCTCTTCCCCTCCTTTGACGCGTTCTGGCGCTCCCCGACGGGTCCAAAATGGCCAGGTATCGACTTAGTGAACTGCAGGGCCCCGGGATCCCCTTCATTTACATATATACACATACATATAGATACATGTGTGTATATATATATATATACTAGAATCATCGCGCGCGCTTCGCGCGCGCTCAGGTTCTAGCCCAGGCCGGGGGGGGCACTGGACGATCTTGGACAACGCTATCAAGCACAGGCGCGCGACGGCATCTGAGGAGCTTCTGGGGTGTTCCGCATGCTTCGTCAACTGGCTGTTGGAGGCACCTCTCGGGTGCTCCTTGGGGGGGCGTCTGGGGGTCCCTTGGGGGCATCGGTTCTGCAATCTGAAGCCGTCATTGGCCGCCTTGGCTGCGTGGAGGCCCGACTTGAGGCCACCTGCGGCCAGATTGAGGCAATCCGGAAGCCTCCCGGGGGCCTCCTGGAAGCAGTTTTGACGCATCGAGGGCAGTCTTGGGCTATTTTAAAGCCTCTTGGACGTCTCCTAGGGGCCTTTTAGGCCCTCGGGAAGCTTTTGGGGTCCTCGTCGGACCACTTGGGGGCCTCTTGCAGCCTCCTGTGGGCCTTGTGGGGGGACCGCTCTGCTGTTGGGTCGCGTTCCCCTTCTTGGGCATCTCTTGGGGCTCTTGGGGCCCTCTCGGGCCGTCTTGGGCGCCTCAAGCACCGTCTTGGGGCCCTCGCGGGCCGTCTTGGGGCCCTCTTGGAGGCCTCTTCCTCTATGTGGGAGCGGTATTGGAAATCTCTTGGGCCGTCTTGCAGCATCGGGATGCCAAAAGCAGAAAATATTTAAACCCGTCAAAGCCCAATCGTAAAACAATGAGTTGTGCCTCTTGGGGCCACCTTGAGAGATCTCTTGGAACCTCGTCGGCCCTCTTGGGAGCTTCTTGGGAGCATCTTGGATCCGATTGGGGGCCTCTTGAGACTTCCCGAGAACCTCTCGGGTAGAAAGCTCGGATTCTCGGTTCGTCGTTCCCTTCTTGGGCCTCTCTTGGGGCCGTCTTGGGGCCCTCTAGGGCCGTCTTGGGCGCCTCAGGCACCGCCTTGGGGCCCTCGTGGGCCGCCCAGGGCCCTCTTGGAAGCCTCTTCGGCTATCTTGGAGCTGTCTGGGAGGCCTCTTCCTCCTCCTCGTCCCCCCTCCTCCTCCTCCCACTCCTCTCTCTCTCTCCTCCTGATCTTCCTCCTCCTCCTCCTGCAGCGTGTTCCGGAAGGCTCCCGCCGGAACATGCTGTGCACAAGTGCTGTCACTGCTCCCGCCACCGTGCCCTGGGTGGTGGGTCAGAGGCCTCATGGGTGTTGGTTTGGATATCGTGGTTGGCCTGTCGGGGACGTCGTGAAGGCAGTTTGGCAGCTTCTCGGCAGCCGTTTTGGGACCGTTGTGGGGCCTCCTCGGGGCTGTTTTGTGATTTAGGCCTCGTTTGGGCCTCCTGGGTGCCTTTGGGGGGCCTCCTGGGGCCTTTGGGGGGCTCCTTGGGGCCTCCTGGGGCACTCTTCAAGCGGGAGGGTAGAATTTTGGAGTCGTGGTCCCCCTCTTGGGCGCATCTTGGGGCCGTCTTGGGGCTCTGTTGGGCTGTCTCGGGCGACTCTAGGGCCGTCTTGGGGCCCTGTTGGGCCTTCTTGGGGCGCTCTTGGGGGCCTAGTGAGCCGTCTTGGAACGTCGGACAGCTGAAAAGGCTGGAAGGCCAAAATCGTTCGAAAACCTTTTGTAGAATTGACGATTTCGGCCTCTTGAAGCGCTCTGGAGAGGCGTCTTGAAGCGTCGTGGAGTGCCTTGGGGGGCCTCTCGGGCCGTCTTGGGCCTATCTTGGGCGTCCTGGAGCGGTCATTCGGCGACTCGGGGCCCGCTTGGGCCGTCTTGGGAGCCTCTGGAGGCCCTCCTGGACTATTTTGGACCTCCCCGGCCGCCCCGTCCCCCCACGGGGGGTCGGAGGCGGCGGCCTCCGAGGCCCAGGACGCGGAAACCCCGTAAAAAAACACAGGGAAAGTCAGCCCCGTGGCCCCCTACGGGGGTCCGAGGCACCAATCTGGCGGCCCCAGGTCTCGTTCCCCAGTGTATATATATATATATATATATATCCCTCGTGGCTCAGCAGGGTTCAACGTTCACACGGCACAGCTCGATGAGGCCTCCAGCTCGTCGGTTTCCTCTGAAGTCATCCAGACGATGCCGTGTGCATCTGGTTGCCGTGGCCGCGCGCGGGGCGGCTTCGAATTACTCTTTAAGTCTGTCAATCGCTCTGATTCTGTCGTCTCTGTAGCTGCGAGCAATGCCGCCACGGATGAAAAAGCACTGTCATCGTGATGGTGATTCGTGCATGTGGGAAGCGGAAAAGCAGGGATGGGAGGAAGCACAGAAGACAGAGGAGCGCAGGATGGGTCGTGCAAGTCGGGGGGCACAAGGCAACATTGACGGACGGGGGCTCAGACGCCACTCCAAGCGGCGAGACTGCACGATCATCATGTTGACGCACAGCGGCGGCGCATACCAACTCGTCTGCAAGACTCTCGAGTGACGAGCTGCAGCGTCGGAGCTGAACGAGGTCCGAGCGGCGCAGGTACTGGGCGCCAGGAACACCCCAATCAGGGCGAGCAGAATCAGTGGCTCCGCAATCGGTGTCAGGACGATCTTGGTCGGGAAGGTCGCCGCTCAGAGCGGCGTCGGGATCATGAGGGCCGTCACGATCAGCATCTTCAGAGAGAACATCAGCGAGATGATCTCGATTCTCAGGACGAGTCTGGCAAGCCTGAGGCGCACGGACACCAGCAGGATCACGCGCGGCAGCGTGCGCAGCACCAGCTGTGGCCTGACCGTCTTCGAAGTTGCGCAGCTCCCGCTCGAAATTGATGTCGTACAGGTAGGACTCGTGACTAGCCACTCCAGCTGGCGGCTGCGGGGAAGGAGTAGTAGAGCACCCACTCGGCGGTGAAGTTGAAGAACGAAGATTGGCCATGAATTCGGACACCTTCGGCAGGTCCGAGCCGTCGCAGTAGCCCACGACCACGGGCAACAGCGTGGGCGGCCTCTGAGCGTGGATGATGTGCACGATGTGCGTAGCCATGCCAACAGCCATAGAGATTATGTCGAGCACCTGCGGCAGAAGGGATGAAAGAGAAGTCGGGTTCGCACCTTTTGGCAATAGCGGGTCCAGCTGCAACACGCGCTTGCCCGATGGGACAGCATCAATGGGAGGGAGTACCTCATTTACAGCATGTTGACCCACGTCGGCTTGATGGATCGCCTCCTGCACGCGGGCGTCCTTGACCCTCGGGAGGCGGTGTTTGGCGCGGCCTGCACGTGTGTTGACTTGGTGGAGCTGGTGAACAGCGGCGCCACCCACCCGCGGGGCAGCGAGAGCGACTGCATCACGAAGAGTGTGCGATTGAACTCCGCTCTCGAATTGAAGGTGAGCGTGAACGCGCATGCCATGCACAACGTCGCGAACATGAGGGGCCAGAGCAGCTGGGACCAAGACATGCTTAAAGCTGCAGGGGACCTCCCGGAGATAGCCGCGAGCACGGCCACGTTCGCGGCGGGCTTCACGGCGTGCAGCAGAGCGGCGATGCGGCATCACCGCGAGCGTGGAGACGATGAAGACGAGCAGACGCCACACTGGAGGGCAGCGGCGCACACCATTGCATGCTGTGAGTGGAGCGCGTGCGGGGCTCCGGCCTAGCAACATGTGGCTTGAGCCAAAATGGCTACGGACATATATATATATATACACATTGCACCGCATGGGTTGCACCAAGTGGATTGCACAACATAGATTGCACCACGTAGGTTAAACCGCATGTATTGCACAACATATTTTGCTAAATTCACACGGCTTGGGGCCCACGCTTGCTAACCTTAATTTTCTTCTACTTCGTGAATGCGGGGCAACTTATAGCTGGACGGCAGCCCTGGCGCCCGCCTAAGCGCGGTGGCAGACCTGCGCAACAGCACAACTGGATATATTATGCTTCCCTTCTCCTTTTTTGTTTATCATTCGGCACTCACGGCTTGCTGGAAGGGTTATGAGTCCGCTTGTGTCCGTGGTCGGGTAGGGGGGCTCCCATGTGCAGTCAGGCTAGCTCCCCAGGAGAAGGGAACAGGAGGGGAGGATGCGGACCAGCAGCAAGAGGAGGGAATGGGACAGGAGGAGGAGTAAGAGGAAGAGAGGGAGAGGAGAGAAGAGGACGAGGGTGAGGAGGGTGGGGGCTCACATGAAGAAACCGCGGCTCGCGCCTGTCGAGGCGACCCCCCCCCCCCCGCGGAGAAAGTGGCCCCCAGCGCAGCCCAGGGACAGCCCTGGGACAGCTCCTCAGGGCATCCCTCAGGGCATCCTCAGGGCATCCCCTCAGGGCATCCTCAGGGCTCGAAAAGCAACTGTGCATCCTCAGGGCATCCCCTCAGGCGGCAACGGGCGAGAACACGGCGAATCCTCGGGACCCCCCCACCACCACCACGTGCGGCAACGGGCGGCGACGGGCTGGCTGGCCAGAACGCGCCGAGTCCTCGAGACACCCCTACAGGTGGCAACGGCCGGCAATGGGAGGCAACGGGCCAGAACGCGGCGAATCCCCAGGACACACCCACAGGCAGCAACGGGCTGCATCGGGGCGGCAACAAGCCAGAACGTGGCGAATCCTCGGGACGCCCATCCAATGTCATAGAATCGCAAGTTCTTCAATAGCCTTGAAAGCTGGTGAATAAACGAAAAGGGGCGCGCGCAAATGGCAATCGTGGAACGCGGCCATAATCCCCGATGACTGTTAGAGGTGGGCAGCGGGGCAGCAGCTGGTGTCCGCATGGGGAACTGGAAACATCCTGGCGAACACCAGCTGCCCCGGCCACGCGCGCCTCAGGGGCTGCTTCCGTCAGGAACGCCCGGCAAGCGGCGTTCGCAGTCCGGCGCACCAGCGAGGAGCCCAGCGTGGTGGCAAGCAAGTCTTCCAGGAAACAAAAAATCTGATTGTCTGGCCCTGCGCCGAGCAGGTCCTGCAAACCTGGGCGCGAAAGTCTGGGCAGTACCACAGGAGGCGAAAGCCCGCGCGACTGCCAAAGCGCCCATGTTCGGAATGAGCGAAGGCAGCTGCACGGGTTCCCACCAATCCGGATACTGGAAAGCTGACCCAAGCAATGCTGCAATGAATTGACAAGCCCACGTTTCCAACATTCACAACAAGCGACTGGACCACGGCGTTAGGGACCTCGCTGCGGTTCTTGGCGAACAGAGCGCCCAGGAAGAAGCGCCTAGCCGAAGCAAAGTGCTGATCATCGCGCCCATGACACGTTGCCTGATCTGGTAAGCTCGTCCCTCGCCAAAAATAAAGTCAAGCACCAGCGGCACCCGGCGCCGGCGGGAGCGGGGCAAAATTGTTGTCGTCTGGCATGGCCGCCCCGCCACCGCCTCGTGAGCATCCCGCCGCAACCCAACGTTTCGAGTCTGAACCGCCTCACCGTAAATGTGATACCGTGACGGCGAGGGCACTCACTGACCAGAAAAATGATGGCCGTGCCGCAAGATGTGACTGGGCACGGTAGGATTGGGCCCGATGATACGGGAACAATGCAACACGAAATAGTTGCGCGCCTGCTTGAAGAATGACCGGAGCGACACGTGGGAAGGCCCCCCAAAAACGCTGGAGGGACCTCGGGAAGCTCGGGACAGCCCCCTGACAACCCCCTGACAACCCCGGGACAGCCCTGGGACAGCCAGGAAAAAGCCGGACGGACCCCGCGAGACAACCCCGAGACCCTGGACAGCTCCAGGAGGTCCAGACCCTGGGACAGCTCGCACCAGGACCGCCGGAGCAAAATCAAGAGCCCAATTTTTCGAGGGCTTAGCCATAATCCTCGAGGAATTGCTGCAACGACCAGGATAGCTCGAACGCCTGCGGCTGCGCGACACTGACACCAGGTAGCATGTTTCCCCGTGGGGGGCCCAAACAATAATTCACGGCACAACGGAGGTGTAAGCTGTGATGCACAAGCGTCTTTGCGGTCGTTTTTCGACAGCAGGTGCGCATCCTCGGGACACCCCCACAGGCGGCAGCGGGCGGCAGCGGGCCAACACCTTGGGAATCCTCGGGACATCCCCACGGGCGGCAACAGTCCGGTTCGGCTGCACGCAAGAGTGACGCTAGGCAAGAGTGGCCTTTGGTGCGCTGCTCTCGGGGAGCCGCAGGGGGGGGGGGGGGGCGGGGCCGAACCCAAGCGCGCAAGACGCAACTGTCGCATCGCAACCCAAGCGGCGATCGGGGGAGCCCTGTGGGCCCGCACTGGAGGTCATTTCAGCGAGAGGTCACCCTGACGTGCAGTCAACTGAACCATGGCGAACCCTCGGGGCGTCCCCACAAACAGCAGCGGGCGGCGACGGGCCAGAACGCGGAGAAGCCTCTGGACGCCTCCACGGCTTGCAAAACAGCTGGCCACGGGCGGCCAGGGGCCGCAACGAGCTGGAGCGTGGCGAATCCCCAGGACACACCCACCAGCGGCAACCGGCGGCATCGGGGCGGCAACGCGCAGGAGCGTGGTGAATCCTCAGGACACCCATCCGACTCGCTAGAAACGCAAGCAAGGACACCAAAGCGCATGCACCGCCTGGGAAACTTAGACCAGGACGAAACATCGGAGGACGGGGGGGGACGTCAGGACGAGGAGTGTGGACGGGGAGACTCGGAAGAGCGAAGCCGAAAAATCGATGACGTGAAGACTACGAGGGGCGACGAATACATTAGAACGATGGCGAGGTTAGGTGGTCAATCCGAAGGGCAGGGACAGAGCTGGAAGAGGAACGAATGCAGCCAGAACCTCGGAGGCTCGCGCACACCGTTCCAAGAGTGCGACAAAAAACTGGCAGCCGAGCCGACGGCTCGCGCAGAATTTCGAACTGCTGCGTTGCGGTAAAGATGGATATGAGAATGGAGGACCGATGGCAAACTGGATATCAAACGGGCAGGCGGGAGAGCCATGGATGCGATGCAAAGGTAACTGATGGGCGACACAGTGCGAACAAATCCTCCCTCACACTGGGCACCCATCAACCGGCTGACTCTCTCACGGGGAGGCGCTTGCCTCGGAGAGGACATGGGGCCCGCGGGGCGACTGGGCGGGAGGGCGTTCTCGAGGTCATACACGTAGTTCTCGTTCAAACAAGCGTGCTCGCACTGATTTGCTGCGCGGTAGTGTTGAAGCGCCCGCTGGCTGCGCGAGCACAGACTGTCGCGCGCGAAACATTGGTGCACCGAAGCTCAAGCTCGTCGCACATTCGAGCGAGCTGATCGCTCATGCGAAGAGACAGCATTTCAGGGCCCAGGGGACATGGCTGCATGTCGGCTCCGCGAAGGCACGAATTACTTACGAATTTGCACGGTGAGGGGTGGTTTGTAGCCGCTGCCTCCCCAGGCTCACAGGAGGGCCCTAAAATTGTCTAGCAGGAGCGAAACTATGCCACCCAGAAAGCGTGCACAGGCACCGGGCATGTGCCCCGCTGCCAGAGCCCTACTTGGGACCACTTGGCGTCTGCCCCGTGCCCAGGGTATCGGCCACAACGCGCCCCACCTGGGTGCGCCACACTGGCAGCAGCAGCAGCAGCAGCAGCAGCAGCAGCAGCAGACAGCGACAGGAGAGTCCCAAGCTCCATCTGTTCACGACGATCACATCATAAAACCGCCCACCCCGGAGGAGATAATGCAAGGCCGAAGGCCGTATATACGAATCTCAATATAAACTTACGCGCAGGCGGCACTATGATACACGTCAGTGAATTGCACAAGGCCCAAGTCAGAATACCGGTGGGTGCGAACAAAAAGACCATCCGCGCGCGATGATATGTTGAGAGCGCGCACAGGAGCGCGACGCCCGAATGATTCCCCGAGAAGTCCGCAGGGCCAAGACTGTCCGCGGTGTCACCACAGCCTCGTGAGTGGGAAGGATCCTAGGGGCGGCGATCTGGCTCGGAGGTTCAATTCTGCGCGGTCGTTTTTCACTCACGACCCGGTGTTGGCCAAACATCTTGCTCACACAGCTGTCAACGAGAGGATCAGAACTGGACGCTGGAATAAGGGCCACTTCTGGCTTCAGGAGGGGCTCTGGCTTTCGGGCGCCTCCTATGGAGGAGGTGGAACTATACAAACATAATTTGTTGGAGGCTCGTCCGAACTTCTTAGATCAGCGCTGGACCCGGGACCCCCTCCTGGTGCGCGGAACGCGCCAGTGGCGGCGCCAGAAGCGCCGCCAAGAGGCTCTGGCGCCGATCCAAGAAATCCGCGCGGAACTCCGAAAGTTTATGCTTGTGGCGCTTGTTTCATTACTCGACCCTCAGGCCCAGGTCGGGGAAGCCCTGCGTGGCCGAAACTCGCCGTGGCCAAGAGAAGCCCCCTTTGCATTGGTGGCCCGGCGGCCTCCGCCTGGAGGCACCGTGTCGTTGGGGCTGCCCGAGCCCATGTTCGGCGGCAGCCCGTGGCTCGGGTGTATTGGAATCAGGACAATCACCGTGCTGCCGTGGGGAGCGCCGGATCAGGAGCGGAGGGCTTCTCGGTTCCCGGCCACGGCGAGCTCAGGCGACGAGGGCGGCCAAGAAAACCGGAGCCGCTCCTCTCCCAAAGTGGCCCGTGTCTCAACGCCTTGGCTGTGGCCGTGGGCGGTCTCCCCCTGGAGGCCCCGTGTCGTCAGAGGCGCAGCTCGTGGTTTAGTCGCTTCGCGTCACGTTGCCAG